TTTTTTTTTTTTTTAATAATAATACAAAATCAGAATAACAAAATAATAAATGAGCCCATTTTACAAATTTGGGCCTAAATTACAATCAAAATCTCAATCAAACCCAAACCCAATTAATAATTAATAACCAACCCACTCAATTAATAAATCAATTAATTAACCCAACCCAACAATAAAATAAAACCCATACAACGATCACTCAACCCGTAAACAACTCTGTTTACACTCCAAGCCAAGACAGGGGTCGACCGGCGGCGAGGTGGGCGACTGGACATCGCTGACTGCGGTAAGCTCCGGTGACTGCGGTTTTACTGTGGGCGGCGCGGTGAGTGTGCAGCGGCGGTGGGTGTGCAGCGATTGTAAGGTTATTCTGTAGTGCGGTTTTGGGTGCTGGACTGTGGTGGTAACTGATGGTGCAATTGGCGAACTGACGCGGCCCATTTGGAGTCACGGTCTGCGGCGGCTCGGTCTTTGTTCCAATTGTTCGGCAGCAATTCCGGTAGGTTGGTTGTATGTAGAAGGTATCGGAACGAGGGGCTGGGTTCTGCAGCAAACTGGGTATTGTTGTGGTGGCGGGATTTGAAAACTGGGTATTGTTGTGGTGGCGGTATTTGAGTGAAGACAAACCGGCACGATGTTAGTACGTTGACAGGAGGGAAGCCATGACCATGACCGAAACGGTTGAAGCTGGGCTGAAGAGGCGGTTGAAGCTTTGTTTTGTCTGCAGCAACGGATTCTGTATTGGTGCTGCGTGAATTGCTGTCCAAGGTTTGCTCTGATACCAATTTGATGTAGGGAGATTACTGAATTAGTAAATAACAAGAAGGGAAGGGGAGGAGAAGAGAAGAAGAAGGCAGAGGCGGGGAGAGAGGAGAAACGGCTGAAGCCAACTCTTTTATTTCATCAAATTCATTAACTCAAATAACAATGTAAGATAGGTTTAAATACTGGAAAAATAATGCAAACCTAGGGCCAAGCCCAATACAAAAGTCCATGAAATTAAAATAACCTAAGTTCCAACTAAAATAATTAAAATTGCTAAAATTAATTAAAATTGGATGTCCTCATCAACTAGAGGATTGGACGAGAGCGCTACCTCAATAACAATGTCAATGCTGAGCTCAGCCCAAGGAAGTTTGAGAGGGTCACTGTTAGAGACAACCTTTATGGGCTTCCCGTCGATGCTGATGGTTTAATTGTCAACTATTTTAACATCTGCCTTGAATGTGCCAAGCATTGAGTCATACTTCAACAAGTGAGATGCCTGTATTTAATATGCAATTTGCGAACTCGACAAATCAGAGTTTTTAGGACTAAAAAGGCCACTATTAATGGCTTACAAAGAAAACCATGCTTAACTCACGTTTTTGACACCACTGTCATTGACGACAACCATCTTGAGTGGTGAGTCTTTGCGGCATGCCAGCAGCGGAGGAAATTCCTGCCAATGCATCCAAAATCTTTGATGGCAACCTTCAATTTGGCAACGGTTTGTCCCTTGACAGGGGTTGATCCTGTAGTCTAATGTTAGACAGAAACAACAGGATACGCCCGATTCAGTAATGGAAAGAAGTATGCGTCAACTTAATCATTCTACCATCAGAACTAGCAATCATACTACAGTGCCATAATTCTTGACATAATTCTATATGACATTTCATCACTGGACCGTTTTAAATACAGTAAACTTTTCCATCAAATCATTTGTTGTCATCTCGGATTATGCCACTGCAACTATTAAATTTCTTCTAGCAAAGTGGCAAAATCCTTTAACTTGATATAACCGATAACCACCGTAATGTCCATCCTAATAGACTTATTATATACAGTTGAAGAAAGGAGCAGAATAATAAATATTAGGTTAATTATTTAAACAGAGATAAAAAGAATACCTTTGGAGTGAGTTGGGCTGCCACTGCATCAGAAAAGAAAGCCTTCCTAGCATTCTTGGCAAAGGTCATACAGCCACTGGACCTAAGACCACAGTATTCAGCCATTTCCAGCTTCTGCACAGCCAGAAAGAAACAGTTGAACAGAAACTTGCATTCAGTATTAAACAGACTAAAACTCGGTCCATGGTGTTACGGATTAAGCCTTAGTGCCTACTTAAACGAGTAATAATGAACTAAAACAAAATGAGAGAACAAGCCAAGCGTACAAATATTTATAATAGTTCAGTTTATCCTCAAGTTGAAGAGTATATCCACTTTATCAATGCAGAGTTTTGCTATAACGGAGAAGAGTACAAGGTAGTCTTACGCTTCCAAAAGACTGGCCTCTTAAAATCCTTTTATTTAGTAGGAATATTTGGATGACTTAAAAATATGATCAAAATTGCAATTATAGAATAGAAACACAGTACTATTAGGTTTCACAAAGTCGAACGCGTCATGCATTGCACAAAGAGGAAGGAAGATGACCTTAGAGAAGCATTGAGTAGGAAATGAATGGAAGGTCTTTCAAGGAAGCCTGGTGTTGGGAGGGATTCTTGAAGAAGCCAGAGCTGCATAGGTAGCCATGGTTGCAGCAACTAAAACAAACTACAAGAACAGCTTCTTAGATATATATGGTTTTTCACTATTCAAGAAAATCTAAATTTGTAAAGGAAAGCTTGTTGTAAATGAATTAAAATAATGAATATTTAGGATTGTATTTGAAGATTAATATCAGATAAGATCATGTTTTTCTCTGTACCATAAAATTCTGAAGCACAGATTATTCAACCCATTTTTGTTTTGTAATTCTTGCAAGTTTCCTTCCCAGTAGTGTCAAAGGGGCCCGACTGCCCGGGTCATCCAAGCCCTCAAAAAGCCCGATGCTAGTCAGCCTGGCTTGTAGACGAACTGTTCCGGACTTTTCACTAATAATTGGATGAGAAAAATTAACACAGTAATCAACTTGGCTCACCTTGGGACGAGCCTGTGGGCCAAGAGAAATGCGATGCGCTAGGCATGGTGGGGCCTTTCCAGACTCATAGGCTGGCCTTTCCCGAGAAGGAGAGAGCGTGCAGAGCAAGACAAGGGTGGGGTGGAGTAACTAAAGGCGGTTGTGCTACATGTCTATAATGATTTATATAACGATTTACATACACAAGATGCGGTGAGATATTATTGAGTTAGAATTCCTTCAACCAAAAAATAAATAAATAAATAAAAAATAAACTTCATCATTCTCTTTTTAACACCCTATCTATATGTAAACCATTGAGTAACTCCATTATATACAAGTAGCGTTGTCAACTAAATGTACATTACCATTAGCTGCATTATGACGTAAAGGAAGGGTCATATTGAATTTTGCCTCTTTTTTCCCCCCAAAAAGAGGCCTTCATTTTTCATGAACTATTTCGTCTTATACATTAGACTCTTCGGTGAAAAAGATTTACAGGTCAACAAAGAATCTCAAACCATGAACTGAAACAAATCAACATTGAATAGAACAACCACCTTCAAACATTATTAATGCGTTCAATTCTATGTTTCATAGAAACGAAGAAATGAATAACAAGAAGTTGAATTATCATTATGCAGATCCACATCAACTGATAAAAACCAACAACTCGACTACAAAAGCAAAGATGAAAATCCTAAAATTTCAGCCTCAACTGTTATCTGAATTAAGCATAGTACAAGAAGACAAGCCGAGTTCCAAAGAAAACAACTCAATGGTCTTATATGAGAGCTTCCATATCATCTACGTTCACAGCCGCTCCATTTGGAGGTTCGTCAGATTGCAATTGATTGGACACGTTGTCTATGGCTGAGTTTAGCTGTTCAATCTTCTCAGCTAGTTTCTTGCGTTGCCTCTGTGAATAGGATAGTATGCAATTGTGTCAAAATGATGGATAATACGGGAAACTGGCTACCCCAGGATATGTTAAAGCAATGATGCAACAAACAATGCTACTATAGATAATGCAGCCGAAAAAGAACATCTTTGGCAATCTTTAAAAAAATTAAAATTTAGTTTTAAGTCACTTTTTTCCCAAACATGTTTGAATATACTTTTTTCTTACTCAAAAGAAAAATGTGTCACTTATTTTGAAAGAAACTCTTACCTTCAACTTATTATCAACTTTGACTAATATGGAAAATATTTATTTTAAAACTTACTTATGCAGGTAAACATGTTGTGCTTAGCCAAAACAAGCTCAAAATGTGATTTTAGTTCATGAATAAATTATGACAGACTTCCTTCTAATTTCCGCTGCAGTAAATTTCTAGGCGATTATATTTAGCTTTTATACAACTTTCTTATTATCTTGACAATTTCAACAAATTTTGATAAATGTTTTAAATAAATAGCTACTGCAATGTTTATATTAATCAAATCCAAAATAGGCTAGCAATTGAATTTCTGTGGTAGCCAAGTAAAGTTAAGAAATTTTTTTATTATTAAGTGACTTTGCAGTCTCATTACTTAATTCTTTTTCAGAAAGTTTCAAGGCCCATACACTACAATTGAAAATGGAAGGTAATAGTTTCAAATCTCCTTTATTCATTGTTCATTTTTCCCACATTTATTTATTTATTTATTTAGTGGGATGTTTCTTTTGTGTGGGTAGGGTGGGGCGTTAATGGTTTTTAACACTTTCTTTTAACAGCTTCTAAATTCATTTGCCTATATGCAGCATTATTCGAGGAAACTTCATGCATTAATTATGATATGATTCTTCCATGGACAACATGAACTTAAACTACGATCATTGCATCTAGCTCAAGTCTCAGCTGGTGAGCAAAATATTTTATTTTCCTTCAAAAGAAACGCAAGCAGACAAATCGCTCAGGTTACCAGGACTGAATTTGAACACAAGTTTCCATCAGAAGAGAACAGTGAACAGGAGGAAAGAGGGATCCTACCTACTAGAAGACTTCATGTAAAAAGAAAAAACACTTACCTCCAAAGCTTTTTCTTCGTCGTAGATGAATTTGGGCAATTTCCTCATGAGATCCTTTTTGTCAGCAGTAGCACCAGCCAAGGCCTTGCTAATCTGTGAAAGATAGGATAGAGCAGTAATATATAATTTCAACCAGCAATCTTTCATCTTATATCTTCAGATTACATTCCAGTGAGATAATGTGCTTGTTATGGAGTAACCCCTTTGACGAAGGCAAAATAAGGGAGGCAATGAGTAGGAAAAATGGCAGGATTTCAGTCCCTATTAAGAGAGGACCATTGGAAATATCTAGTTATGAATTGTTAGCTTCCTTCCCCTAGATGCAGTATGCAAGCATGCATCAACACGTTAGGACCTTAATACTATTACAAGTAGAAATATCTATCAGGATAAATTGTTGTCCCCTAGGCACATCCCCATCTACATTTTAATCCCTAACATGTTGTTTCTACCTGATTTTTGTTTTTGTCATTAAGCTCCCTACCTCAGTAAGGGTCATTTACGCCTAAAAATGAAACATTTAGGAGCTTAATGCCAAAAAAGAAATGTCAGGGATAGAAAAGAGTAAATGATGGTACATGTTAGGGATGACAATCCGTGCAATTTATTCTAATTACAATAAGTTTCCAGGATTCAGAGTAAGAAGAAAATGCATAGTAGAGAGAGGTGTAACATCCGTGCAAAGATAAATGTACCCATTTATAATTGTTCGATTATAATCACCTGTGGTGCATACACACAACTTAGTGTGCCAACGATTAATCCCCCCAAAACAAATCCACCAACAAAGATGCTTCCACTGCTTGGCCTATCACTGACAATAAACATAAAACGCAAGAAGATATCGTTAGAACTTCACTTGATATACATTTAAAAACGAAAAAGTGCGAATCGTGCTTTTTCTTCTGATTATTTGATGATATTTTCACTTTGATCCTGGTTCTTTCATTCAAAAGCTCGTTGGTCCACAGAAAATAAGAAAGCTAGCAGCAGGTCTACATCCTGAGAAATTGAATTTCAAGTCTAAAATATTAACGAAATGTTACTCGGCAACCAATAGAAACCCTCAATACCTTGTATACTTGTGCTGCCGTGCAAAAACCAAAGGTCAACTGATATCATAACAACAAACAAACAAATAAACAAGCCGATGATGACACATACCTGTAACTTGCTTGAAGAGTGAGTTTCCTTTTCGGGGCAGATGATTTCCTCGAGCCTTTCAAACCGAAGGACGAGTTGTTGGGGCCCATAATAGTTGCATCGTGGTCCACTGATTTTAAAGAAGAACCTAGTACAAGATACAAAGTTATGTTCAGAGCCAAAGTAATAAAGCATAATAAGCCAAAGACGACCATCCGTATATTTTATGGAGAATAGTTGAGTGAGCACATATGAACAAATAGCAATATTTTACAAGTGTCAACATAAAAGGAAAAAAACTATAAATTTTTCATTCCAGCTATTCTACTAGACAAATAGAAGGAGCCTTGACAAGCTGGACAAGTTCACAATATGCACTAAAATATCAAGCTACTAAAACAAAGCATGGATAAAATCCTTCAGAATCCAAAAGGAGATGGAATTTTAACCAAAACATGCTTTACTGCATTAACTAATATAAAAGGGCAGGGATCGCTTTGCTTTCTGGAATTCAACTGAAGATTTTGAATAATATCCTGTGTTGTGTATTAATGGCCGCTGGAATTCATAACTGTATAGTGGCTTAAACATATCCTCCAAAATGCCAAATACGTTGATGAATTCGCACTTTAATCTTACTTACCCCGAAATTTAATTACAAGCTGAAAAATAAATGTCTCGGAATAATCAAATTAATTTTTTTTTAATTTTTTTTTTATTAATTTTTTTTTTCGAAGAGAAAAGAAAAATGGATACTTAAGAGCCTGTTTGGGAGCATTTTAGAATTCTTTGTTAAATTCAAAAATCATACCTTACAAGAAACAGGGAAGATACCTCTTCACAGACAAAAAAGATCGATAAAGAATATTAAGAAAGTCCATCCAAGAGGTGACATAATTGGGAACTCTCTCAACAACACCATCCTATCTATGCACACTGTACAAAAATTCTGAAAAGGTTGGGAATTCTTCACCTAAATTGCTCTCCATTATGCTCCCAAACTTTCACACTTGCACCACCTTCCAACAAGAAACCTGATAAGCCCCCAATATGGTTCACATACTCTAAAAGATTCAAGAAGGGTGGAGGACAATAGGCGGGAGAAAGGGAAACAGAATTCTGTTATGAAGCAAGTGGCGGGGAGAAAATCAGTTAGGAATTGGCTATAAATAAGAGCAAGGAGAGGCATAGTAGGTAGGCAAATATTGAGGGAAAGGAAGGAGTCTTGTAATCACTTACTCTGTAATTCACTGCATTTCAATTCAATCGACATTCCTTTCAAATTCAATTTTCTTCTCTAGAGTCTTATCAAATTGGTATCAGAGCACGTTCGGTCCAATGGCCCAAAAGAAGATAGAGGGTAGGATAGAACTGGTGGTAAAGGAGGTGGAGGATATCAAAATAGAATTGCAATGCCTACCGGGGCCAGAATATGGCCAAAATGATGCTAGCGGTAGAGGAGACTAGGAAGTTTGTGGCTGCCCTTTTTATCACCAAGGAGGGGACCGAACAGCAACAGCGAAAGGGTTGGTAGCATTATGGAAGGGCCGAATCTGACCCATAACCACCTTAGAGCAGAGAACGTTCAACATGTGCTGAACAAGGACAAGTGGCCGGAAGGATCAGGAGAAGCTAATATCGGGAGAGTGGCCATGGAAAGCGATCTCAACAGAGAAGAGGATCAATGGCAGTGGGTAAGGAAATTGGAGATGCCTATTTTCAGTGGTGATAACCAAGATGGGTGGCTCTTCCCAACGGAGAGGTATTTTGAGGTGACTGGGTTAACGAAGAAGGAGAAGATGGGAGTTGTCATAGCGAGTTTGGACGGAGACGCACTGTTGCGGCTCCAGTGGGCAGAGGCCAAGGAACCATTTCGGAGTTGACAGCAATTTCGATAGCAACTCTTGCTGTGGTTTCGATCGACACAGGACGACAGCTTGTTCAAAAATTTATGGCCATCAACTAGGGTAGAACAGTTGCAGAATATTGGCGTGAATTCAAGATGCTTGCTACCCCGTTGACTGGCATACTGAAGGAGGTAATGAAGAGCACGTTCTTAAATGGCTAAAATTGGACATTAAGGCAAAGGTTAGACTTTTGGACCTAAGGGGATTGGGCCAGATTATGGAAACATTCTACAAGGTAGAAGACAGGAATGTTGTTCTCCAAAAATTCAAAGAGCCCATAGCCCAAAGAGGATACAAAATCCACCCGAACATCCACTCGAACCCAGCTAGCAGTGAATCGTTCCCAACAAAGATGGTAACAGTGGATGAGAGAGGAGCGAGCCAATGAAGGGAAGCTTCAATCAAGAGGATGTCCGATGCGGAGTGGAAAATGAGGATAGATAAGGGTTTGTGCTTCCGTTGTGAAGAGCGGTACACGGTGGGCGATCAATGCAAAAATAGGGAGCTCCGGGTGCTTCTGGTTCAAGGGGGTGAAGAAGTTGAGGCTACATATGAGTCTATAGAGGAGGAACCCCCGCTAGAGGTAGGTGAAAAAGTGGAACTATCCCTCAATTCGATGGTAGGGCTTACTACGCCCGAAACTATGAAGCTCAAAGGGACGTCGGGCCCAGCGACGTGGTCATACTAGTCAACTCTGGAGCGACCTGCAATTTTATTTCCCAGGAAATGGTCCAAAGATTGGGTTTGCCGATTACAACTACAAATAACTATGGGGTCAACATGGGAATAGGGGAATCGTTGACAGGTAAGGGAATTTGTAAAGAAATAGTACTTAGATTGCAGGGGCTAACCATCATGGAAGACTTCTTACCCCTTGAGTTGGGCAACACCGACGTAGTACTGGGGATGCAATGGCTAGGGAGTTTGGGGTGTATGGAGGTCAATTGGAAATTGCTAATAATGAAGATCCGGATGGGGAAAACTGGATGACGTTGGGGGGGCCAGGGGTTGAACAAGTATGGGGTATCCTTGAGGGCTATGATGAAGGCCTTGTTGAACGAAGGACAAGGAGTGTGGGTAGAGATGGAGCATCCTCTGGAGTGTGGGGGCATGATGGGTAAAAAGAAAGGGCTATCTGCAGGGGTGTCAAAATTACTGCAGCAGCACTAGCAAGTGTTTGCAGAAACATCGAAATTACCTCCCGCCCGTGATACGGACCATACAATTACTTTGAAGGTTGGGTCGGATCCAATTAGTGTAAGGCCTTTCTGATACCTGCATTTCCAGAAAAATGAGATCGAGAGGTTGGTCAAAGAGATGCTGCCACGAAGATAATTCAACTCAGTGTCAGCCCATTCTTAAGCCCCGTGCTACTAGTAAAAAAGGACGGCATCTGTGCTTCTGTGTAGATTATCGTTCATTGAACAAAGTAATGATTTCGGACAAATTTCCCATTCTAGTGATCGATGAGTTGTTGGATGAGCTACATGGAGCGACCGTGTTCTCCAAATTGGATTTGAAGTCAGGGTATCACCAAATTAGAGTGAGGAAGGAAGATGTGCCTAAAATTGCCTTCAGGATACACGAAGGACATTATGGGTTCTTAGTAATGTCATTCGGCCTTACTAATGCCCCAGTGACATTTCAATCGTTAATTAATCAGGTATTCCGAGATTACCAAAGGAAGTTTGTACTTGTGTTTTTTGATGACATTTTGGTGTATAGTAAAGATTTGCCAGCCCACGAACAATACTTGGACCTAGTCTTCAAAGCTCTGGAAAAGAACAAACTATGTGCCAACGCAAGAAAATGTCTATTTGCCCAACATCACATCAAGTATTTAGGGCATCTTGATTCAACAGAAGGAGTAATTGGCCGGTTCTTTGCAATTTCTGGAACTTCGAGGTTTTCAAGGGTTAACAGGCTACTATCGGAGGTTTGTGGCAGGATATGGCACCATTGCTTGACCTCTCATGGATTAGTTGAAGAAAGATGCTTTTGGGTGGAGTGAAAAGGCAGATGTAGCCTTCCACAGTTTAAAAAGGGCCATGACTACAGTCCCAGTCTTAGCCCTTCCAAATTTCTCGCAACCGTTCGTTATCGAGACTGATGCTTCGGGCTATGGATTGGGGGCGGTACTTATGCAAAGTCAACGACCCATTGCATTTTCCAAGTCAGGTATTACTAGGCCAATCCCAGCAAAAATCCATTTATGAAAGGAGTTGATGGCTATCGTGTTGGCTATTCAGAAGTGAAGCCACTATGTTTTGGGAAGAAAGTTCATCGTCCGCATAGATTAGCGTAGCCTCAAGTATCTCCTTGAGCAGAGAACAATACCTGGGGAATTCCAGCATTGGATAACCAAGCTTATAGGGTATGAATTCGAGATTCAATACCATCCAGGGATTGAGAATAAAGCAGTAGATGCCTTGTCTCGAATTCCCGGCCCTTAAATTCTGGATGTTCAGTTGATTGAGACCTAAAGTTGAAGGTGACCCACTGATGTCTAAACTGAAGAAGGAACTACAGGACAACTCGGGAAGCACACCCTCGGTATTCAGTCGAACAAGGGAAACTGCTCTATAAAGGATGTTCAGAAATTTGTGGAAGAGTGCCCGGTACGCCAACAAAACAAAACTATCGCACTCTTGCCAGCTGGACTCTTGCAACCTCTACCCATCCCCAATTTGGTATGGGACAACATTTCAATGGACTTTGTGGAAGGACTTCCTAAATCAAGTGGGTTTAACTCCATCCTGGTGGTCGTCGATTGTTTAAGTAAATACGGGCACTTCCTGCTATTAAGACATCCATTCACGGCCTGCAGCGTCGCGGCAGTCTTCGTTAAAGAAGTGGTGCGTCTCCATGGTATTCCCCACTCTATCCTCTCTCATCAGGATAAAGTATTTTTAACTCAATTTTGGATAATACTATTTAGGCTGCAGGGAACTTACCTCCGGCGTAGTACAGCTTACCATCCGCAGACTGACGAGCAGACGAAAGTGGTAAATAGGTGCGTGGAGGCATATTTGAGGTGTTTCTCTTATGATAAACCCAAAATCTGGTCCACATGGTTACCTTGGGCGGAATATTGGTATAACACTGCCTTTCACGCATCAACCAACACTACCTCGTTCAAAGTAGTTTATGGGAGGGAACCTCCACCATTAATTCACTATGGCAGTAGAACAGCAGTTGACTCGGTGGAACAGCAACTATGGAACCGAGACAATGTGCTGGACGAGCTGAAAACGCATCTCCTTAGAGCTCAGGACAAAATGAAAGTGGAGGTAGATAAACATCACCGGGATATTTAGTTTGAAGTGGGGGAATTGATGTATGTAAAGTTACGCCCATACCGCCTCCGTTCGTTGGCGAAAAGGCAGAACGAAAAGCTGGGGCCTAAGTATTTCGGTCCATTTGAAATTATAAAACGAGTGGGACCGGTTGCTTACCACTTACGACTACCCCCTGCTGCAGCCATATACCCTGTCTTTCATGTATCACAGCTGAGAAAGGCTTTGGGGACAAACACAGAAAGTCCACTGCTTCCTCACCACCTAACTGAGAATCTGGAATGGGTTGAGCCTGAACAGGTCTTGGGAGTTCGGAGTTCAGCAACAGGGCAGGCCTCAAGCAAGGAAGTACTTATACAGTGAAAAGATTTACCTCCATCAGATGCTACATGGGGGAATCATTGGACTCGATTCTTCAACAATTTCCTGACTTCCACCTTGAGGACCAGGTGTCTTTGAACCCCCGGGGGTATTGATAAGCCCCCAATATGGTTCATATATTCTAGAAGATTCAAGAAAGGAGGAGGACAACAGGCGAGAGAAAGGGAAACAGAATTCTGTTATGAAGCAAGTGGCGGGGAGAAAATCAGTTAGGAATTGGCTATAAATAAGAACAAGGATAGGCATAGTAGGCAGGCAAATATTGATTGAAAGGAAGGAATCTTGCAATCACTTCTAATTCTGCAATTCACTGCATTTCAATTCAATCGAACATTCCTTTCCAGTTCAGTTTTCTTCTCTAGAGTCTTATCAAAATCACTCCTAATTTTCATAATGCTTCCAAAGAACCCAACCCTAGAGGATTATTAAAGTCTTTGTGAGCTCCACTCACACCTGTACTTGCCCACCAAAGGATTCTTGCACAAAGCATCTTGCTCTACAGGAAACCTTATATCCATTTGCCCAGTAAGTCTTGATATCCAAGGATTCTGATTCTCAGCCCTCGACATTTGACAAGACTTTTGGATTTGTTCTCAATTCACAAAATTATACTTTTACCTTCCACCAAATAGTTTCTCTAATATTTTGCCAACAGAGGAAGACACTTCAAACATGAACATCAAAATAAGAAAGAGGCAAGCTGTATAAGCTGCTCTTGATTTATGCATCTCGCGAAAAATGTTGTGGGTGGATAATGGATTCTCGTAGATTGTTATTACTTCCTTATTGGAGTTCCCAAAAGCATTATATCCCAAAGCTAGTAAATTCTCACTAGAAAGCCATCCAGATCCTACTCACTAGAACTGAAGGTTTGAAGAATTTAATGATACACAAGAATTTCATTTTATTTTTCATAGAATTCCTCCGAATCTTTACCAGTTAGCCTCCAAGACTCCAAGTAATTAGACTGTTCTTCTCCCGCTAATAGAAAGATCCTCTCCCCACTAGAAAAAGGAAGTTAGCATAACACAAGATATGATGATTGTGGTTTTTACACACACAATTAACATAATAAATACCAATCCCAACAAATCCAGTTTGACTTTTTTACCTTCTTGATAAAGCGATAATCAACAAAATTTTTAAATATTCTTTTTACCACGGAGCTGTAATCTTTCATGTTATTCCGTAAAACCCATTACACATACTTATCGAAAAGGTGAATAAAAGCTTCCTGGTATAATTATTCAACTGCTTTCCACAATCTTCAAATCCTATGTAGTTCTTAAAAAGGAAAAAGTACTAAAATAATTAAAACAGCAAAGAAGAGACACAGAACGCACATTGATCATCGAATATGAAAGCAAAGTAGACTAAGAGCTGTAATCTTTCATCCTGTTTCGGAAAACCTACAATCGTGTTCTAGCAAAAGAAAAGAAAAGAAAAGGTAATCAATCAAAAACCCACGTCCCGATTCAATTATTGAACATTTTTTTAACTATTTTCAAATTCCCATCCTCCACTTAAAAAAGCACCAAAATAATCAAAAGCATTGAAGGGATATCGGAAAACACACATCGATCGTCGAATATGAAAATACATGTTAGTTTATCGTTATCGAAATGAAATATATTTGAATGAGTACCAGATGATAGACAAAGCGCAGAGGTTTTAGATATCACAATTGAATTCGATACAGCAGTCATTGTGTAAGGCGAAGTGAGCGAGGAAAGTGAGAAGAAAGAAGAACACAGTGTGAAATAGCAATATAAACAAGCTATTTTATTTTATTTTTTTTGTTCGATGTTATCGAGGATTACCTCTAACTCCCACGCACAGAACTTCACCTATATTGGGAACTTTATGTTTCAATAATTACTCATGTTGGAGCGATTGTGGGAATTGATTTTTTGATCGTAAGGAAAAAAATGAGGATCATTTGTGAGAGAAGAAGTCAAATTTTATGGCTGGAATTAGAGGTGGGCGTCGAGCGGGTCAGTTCGAGTATTTCAATACCCAGAAATACCATTATATTTCGGATACTTTATAAATGTATCCATTTGGTTCCATGTAATTATTGGGTCCAAATCCAAACCTGAACCATCGGTTTCGGTTTGGGTTTGGGTTCAGTTTTACCCATAATATTTTTTTGAATACATATTTAGTAAATCCAACCAAGTAATTAGACAAATTATCACAAACTATCCATTATGTCATTAGATTTAGTAACTCACATTAATGGACTAATCGTCCAAGACGTAAATAAATCCTTAACAGATTAAAAGTTACACAAGAAATTAATAAGACTAGCCTTAAAAGAACATTAAAAACTAGTTAAAACTTAAAAGAACTTTGTAGAAGTATAGGACCAGCATTAAACAGAGCTTTAAAACTTAAAAGAGCATTAATATGATCATCTTATTATGATAATAATCAGAAGTTCAAAAAATTTTAAAACCAACGGGAGAAGTTAAACAACAAAATAATGTCATCAAAAGAGCCATAAAATGTTAACCACAAACTCCAGATGATAAATATTCTCAATAGATTCCGAGTCGCATACACTAATCCATGTGATTTGTGTCGCACCAACCATTTAGACATCCATTCCATGAGTTGTGGCATTAACAAAATCTACAAGACATAATTAAAATATAATAATCATTACAAGTTTAACAAAACTAAAATTTATGAGATTAACAAAATGCAATATAAGAATATGGAAAAACAATGTTTACTTATTTGTCTCAATTTTCTCGTAAAACTCAGTCTCTTCAATACAAATTCCATCTTGGGTTACTTTCAAAAGTCTAGATTCTTCACGTAACCAATTTTGTGTGCAAATCAATGCCTCAACTGTTTTAGGAGTTAAAGAACTCCTAAATGAATCAAGAATCCGTCCACTCGAGCTAAATGCTGACTTAGAAGCAACCGTAAAGATGGGAATGGCAAGCACATCCCTTACTACCTCAGATAAAGCACTAAATCTTTCACTATTAATCTTTCATCAATATAAAATGTCAAATTTTCATTTGCAGGGTCTTCAGTACTTTCTCCTAAATATTTTTCAATCTTATCTTTTCCAGCTAAATCCACATTGCTAGTTTTCAATTTTTTGTACCGTATGTCAACTTGATTAAATGGACTTATATCATCTCCATCTCTATCTTCATCATCATCTGAACCATCAACAGAAGTTAGTCCATTATTAGAATTACTACCACCAATTCCACCGTCAATATCGTCTTGTCCCTTGTATTCATTGTATAAAGCATACAACATTTTCATAACTTCATTTTTTAACACATCCACCTTGTTGTCATCATATAAGATACTTGCACAATATGCAACATACTCAAATTTGTACCTAGGATCAAGTACAATTGCTAAAAGTAAAAGTTTGTTCATTTTCTCAATTGTACCCCAATACTTGTCAAACTTCACCTTTATATTGCACGCTATACTTCTTAATGAACTAAACTTCAAAGTGACTTCATAAAAAAATCTTAAAAATTTGGCAAATTTTCCTTATCCCAATCATCACTAGTAGGTGGTCCTTCTCTTTCGTGTCCATTTTCACATTCGTCAAAATATTTATAATAAAATCCATCCTCTCCCTCCATCCGTTCAAATGCTTTCTGAAAATTCGATGCACCATCCAACATTAAAAAGGTTGAATTACATCTAGTAGGTACATCTAGAACGGTGAGCTTTTTGCAACCAATCTTCTTTCTTTCAACACAAGCTTTAAACTTCATATGCCTAGAAGGAGATGATCAAAAATATTTTATAGCATTTCGAATACTTGCTATGGAGTGGTTAAGCTCCTTCAACCCGTCATTAACAATCAAATTAATAATATGTGTCGAACACCTAACATGCAAATAAGCACCACCCAAAATCATCCAATCGGCTTTCCAATTCTTCAACTTGTTTTTCACATAAATGATTGCTGTATCATTTGCATTTGCATTGTCAACGATAATAGTCGACACATGCTCTATCCCCTAATCAAGCAAACTATTTTCAACAAGTTTTCCTATTGTCTCCCCTTTATGATCTGGAACAACGGAAAAGCTCGAAATCCTCTTATGTAATTTCCAAGTTCTATTAATAAAGTGTGCTCTGATTACCATGTAATTGATATTTCTAATTGATGTCCAACAATCAGTGGTAAGAGCAACCCTTTGCCTATCCTGAATAAGTTTATTCTTCAATGATTCCTTTGTCTCACTATAAAGATAGAGCACATCCCTAGCAATTGTTATTCGAGAAGGAATATCCAACTTAGGATTGAGTTTTTGCACAAACTCTTTAAAACCCACACCCTCCACAAAGGAAAAGGGCAATTCATCAATATAATCATCCTAACTAGATATCTTCTACATTCTTCTTTATTATAGACCGATGCTGTAAGATTAAACATGCTACCATCACCATTACCACCATCATTTCTCTGTCGAGTTAAGGTCTTTTGTTGATCACCAAACTGAGTAGCCTTATATGCGTGACAACTATGCAAATGCTTCCACATTCTAGAAGTACCTCCTTTTGAATTACTTTGAAGGACTTTTCACAATAATTGCATTTTGATGTTTCCCCATTACATACCTTAGTAAATCTCAACCAAATTGCTAACCTTGTCTTTGTTCTCTTTTTAGTTCCAGGTGTCTCATCATACATCTACAAAAACTAAATTATTTTGCTAACCCGTAACAAATTTAATTTGAAGAGGAAAAAAATAATAAAGGCACACCACAAATTTTTCTATTGAATAGAAAACAATAGTAAGGGCACACCACAAGTAATAGTACTATTTGTTGCATGATAGAGACTTGAAGATAAACTTAGACTTGAACGAATCCATAAATCAACAGCTTGAGAATTTTGATTGATTTTCAATGACAAATGAATCCAAAAACTAAGCTGAGCCCAGTATCCTTTGAATTTCAATCATATAATTATAAAAAATCAAATAATACGTCAATTCTAGAAAACAGGTAATTATTAATCACTGATTAATAATTCATTAAGTACTAAGATTATTTATTAATAATTTTCAAGTTTAATTAATAATTGGGATTATTTATTAATCCATTAAGCTCCAACATTTTAATCCCAATTCATCATATTATAGATAATAAAAGAAAAAAAAGGTGAACTATAAGATCATGGCTGCAAGAAAAATTGTTCAGATTTCTTGATAAATGGATACAATAAAGACGTGGAGTACAATGAACCATTAAACACAAATAGAATAAATCGGCAACTCCTCTTAAAATTAATTAAAAAGAGTGGCAAAACTGTTCAACATAGACGCTGACAAGTTGGCATATTACTTTTCATTACATGTTTATTTTCAGATTCAAATTTTTATTTTCATTACAAGTTGGTTAACTGTGGTGTTGGTGTTGGTATTGGTGTTGGTGACGAAGCCATTGTTTGATGGAAGAGAATGCCAAAAAGGAATTGGGAAAGGAGGCAACCAACAGGGGAATATAATTCTTTATAGGTTTGGGCAGTGGGCAAATTCCTTTTGAGCAAGATTTATATATTTGGATTTTCTAACTAAAATGGGCCAAAAGATTTGGATTTAATATTTTCTTTAGGTTGAATTAAGAAACCCATTTAGTTTTTAAGTTACAGTCTATAATTATCAAATTTTGTAATTTTTTATTCAATCTATTAATTATTAAAAATAAAAAAAATTACAATGAAATCGGTTCCATCTGATTACCCATGGTTCCAATTCAAGAACCAAAAATCGATCCAGACCCAATCGGTTCTCGATTTTCGATTTCAATTCGTATTTATTTATTTTTTTAACCGAACGAGAACCTTTTGGTTCGGGAGATTCGGCTCCAGTACAAATGCCCACTCCTAGTTGGAATAGTGAAATAACGGTAAAAAAATCAATTTTTTTGGTGAAAAATCACTCCCAAACGGCCCCTATGCTCACTAAGTTTTTTAAAAGTGATTCGTAATGCTCGTTGAACTTTATTCGTTTACATCATATTGCCCTTGTTTGTGCTCCATTTTTTGTCATAAAAATGTATTTTTGAATAGTGTATTGATGTGAAATATGTAATTAAAAAATAAATAAGTTTTGAATTTACGTCTAATATTATTTTTTTGAAGAATGTGTGATTGAAATGATGTCAAAATACTGTTTAAAAATGTATTTTTTTTTACAAAGAATGGAGCTCAAACAAGGGCATAATGTCATTTGTCAAATTCCATTCTCCTTATCACTGACATGTCAAATCCCATTCCCCAAATGATAGATTACAACCGTTAAAAAAATTATAGCACAGTCAGACTATTCAAAGTAAAATATTGTTTGATAAGTCAAAGTAAAATATTTTATTACTTACCCAACTAATACTATGGTTATAATTTACTCATCGAACTTCAAAATTCTTTGCAATCATTACTCATCTTAGAGAGTTGCACTCCACCCATCATTCGCTAGTTTACGTTCCCTTTATTGTCGATGTGTTACACAGAAATCATGTGACAAATTATCATCATTATAAAAATTACAACTCAAACAAACCATCTAACTCACCAAAATTACTATATGTGAAATGCAGCCCAAAAATTTCTTTAAGCCCAATTTTATGCCCTCAACTTCAGTCTAAAAAAATACCTTAGCATTCAATTCACTCATCTCACCTATGTACAACTAAAATATGTACTAAGATAGGGTAGATTGTTGAGAAGGATGTGAGAAGCTGCTATTTATAAATTTATATCTCCCAATTGTATCACCTGCTCGATGTTTCTCTAA